CTCAAAGAATCTTTTGCACGATTAAAGGGATCTTTGCACCATGAAAGGGTTCTTCAGACTGAAAGAGAATGTGCTGTAGGTGTTTCTATATTGAGCCTTTCTGAAAAGGATTCTATATTGCACCCAAAGGGTTCTTCTATTGTTACGACGTCAAGCTTGTAACAATAGAAGAACGCTTTTGGGTGCTATATAGACCCCTTTTCAAAGAACCATATTTAGCACATTTATGCACATTTTCTATCACCTGAATAATAAGAACCCTGTAATCTTGCAGGAGGTTCTTTGAGTGCTTATAGTTGTATATAGAACCATTTTCTTTGCTAAAGAACCCTTGAAGAACCATCTTTTTGTTTCCTTTAGGTACTTCATAAAATACTTAGCAGAACAGTGTTTGTTTCAGAGAAAAACATATTTAGCACAGCATCAGACCAATGAACAGACTGTCTGTTTGGAGAAAAAATGATGGAAATCGAGAATTTTAAATAAAAAGGCAACTTCAGCTTTGCCTGATATGTGCATCCCGTACATTCATACCTCTAACCATCAGACACTGCTGCCACAGCGTTCATTATCAGCTGGTCCACGACTTGTTTGCGCATAAGGCCCTGAGACTGTGGCCTCGTTTGATGCAGCTGACCGAGTCAGACATCAGAAGTCTGGTGTCCAGTTTTGGCTAAGGCTAACCCCAAAAGAGTGGCAATTCCTTTATGCCTGCTGCCTTGAAAACAAAGTGGACTACTTCGGATGCAACAGGCTAAACGGCGGAAGGTGATCGAGGCTCAAACATCCCTGACTCAGGTACTCAGCTAAAGAGGTTAACACTAGCTTGGTTTGCACTGTTTGTATGTCAAGTTATCTGCACTTATTTGTGGCTTATTGGTGTAACAGTTATGATAAAATACATGCCTGTGGAAGAATTTCAACCAGTATATCAGATGGACCGATATATCACCTGTTACTGCTGAATACATTTGTACGTATAAAAATGTTGAAATACTTCTTTGGGATTTTTCCCGAAATTCCAAATACGATACAATGAACTAAATGTATATTGTAATGATGCCGTGCAGACATGTGCTCAAACTACTTCTAACCATGTTGTACAGATATGAACTCATCAAAGCTGATTTTATTGAGAGCAATCCAAATTAGAAGGACTTCTCTATGTGGGCTGTTGATGCCGTTGGACATGACCTGGGGACACTTCCTCTCGGACTGTCTCTGAGCAAAAGCTCAAGCCACTGAAAATGAGAGCAGGTTTTCTGGTTTGATGCAGTAAGATGATATGCACTGATGCTCTCCTGCATAAAAGGCCAAGAATGTGCTGATTGTAGTTCAAGTTCCAGAGAAGAAAGAGAAAATCTGAGTGATTGAGATCTTGGCCTTGTGCTCAGTGGCGGTGTTTTGAGAGAGTGGGATGAAAAGTGAGTGGCTGAGTGAAGAAGGATGAAGCAGAGAGAGAATGAGAGAGCGTGCGATGGTCAGTTGGCTGCTTTATGCTTACGCAGGAGAATTACATAACCTTGGTGATGGGTGGCAGATTGTCCCTGTCATTACTGCTCTCTAATCATTAATGTGTGTCTGTGTGCGTGTGAGTGTGTGTGCACACTTGTGCATGTGTGTTTGAGCTCTCTTACACACTTATCAGGCCAGCACGGACATGTCAGCCCTTAAAGGAGCACTCCAGCACTTTTCAACCTAATTTCTATCTGCTGTATGCGTAGGACATGGTTACTATAGAAGATAACTTAAATTTAATTCAAAAAAATTGAGGCCGTATGTGAAATGCAAATAAAAAGAAAAAAATATTGATCTGTAAATCCACCGTATTTAAACGAAAGCGGTGCAGAGACAAATATATTTAATTAGGCCTGTGATATCACGTGCAATGTTTCATGATCCAATCACAGCCCATAGTTAACGTTGAAGATGCTATCGATACTATTTTAATAGTTGGTGTCTTCAGGCCCCGAACGATTATTAAGTGTTATTGAAAAGAAAGGTGATGTAAAATAGTAGTCAACATGTTCCTGTACCAACTTTTTGGAATGTGTTGCGGGTATAATATTTGAAATGAGTATATATTGACCAAAAAAAAAATCATGTCATGTTTCTGGACTGTTTTCAATTTAATGATGGTCGAACGGAGTTTACTAATTACTGCTTTCTCTCTCTCTTTTAGCATTTTTGTTGATTTGTGAAAATAAATTAGCACATATTCTGCAGGGAACAAACTTAAACATATATGTCCACAATTTCACAACTTTTCATTTAACATATTGGATACAAATAAAACATTAAATGTAAAACAGTAATTATAATAAATATAATATAAACACTGCATTTAATGTGCAGAAGGTGACTTGTAGGTGACACTATTCTGAGTGGTCCTTTTAGATGAAACAAACACTCAACAGACTCTCAGTAACATGTCAAAAACATATGAGGGTTAGGATTAGGTTTTGGGTTGAGGTTAAGTTTAGGATTAGGATTAGGGGCAGGGTTAGGGTTAGGTTTTGGTAAGGTTGGTAAGGTTAGGTTTTGTGTAATGGAAGTAACATATTAACAACACATCTACTTAATGTACGTAATGTATCAACAGAACATCTACAAGATATTTACTTCAATGTATTCAGATGCTTCACTACAGCTACTTCACTGATATGTTGTTGATGTGTTACTGATAATCTGTAAAGAGTTTATTAATCACCTACAAAGGACCACTCCAAAAGTGTTCCCGAAGTGTGTTCTTTGGGGGCGTATTAACTATTTTAAACATAATTTGACCAGGGCGCCCATATTTTTGCACTCAACCGCAAGTATCTTTTGAGCAACCAAGTTTTCTGTCCTTTAAAAAAGGGTAGAAAAATTATTGTCTATGGAAATTAACCATTAACCATGAGATGACAGATGGAGATACTGTTGAAAATGCTGCACTGTTCCTTTAGCAGATCAGAGTGTTGCTCAGGCTCTGCTGACAGTCAGTCACATGTATTATATAGCCTACCTATAACAACAGTGTAGTCGCACTTGCTCTGTGTCACCAGGGTATTTAAAAGTATATGATAGAATAGCTGGTGTGCAGTTTCTGGGAGATGTACACAAACTAAAATTAAACTTGATGCTACCTTGCTGTCAGTAGTTGGCACATGTTTTAGCTGAGGCAGCTGTTTTATGTTGCAGCGTATGAGGCAGGCACTTCGGCTAAGAGTATGAGGAGAGGAGGGAGCCAGTGGTGGAGATAAAACCCAATTCATTTCCTGTCCACTCCCCCCCTCGGAAACCTCATTAGAATTTGAATTCTGGGGTGTTAATTTGATAGCCGGCTGTGCGCCTGCTCATCTTTTCCCTATTAATCGTCCTGCTTGTGAGTGTGTCTGTGTGTGCATGTGCACATTTGTGTGTCTGACAGAGAGAGAGAAAGTTGGATGGGGTCTGTCCTCAGTAGGGGAGCTGGAGGTCTGACCCATCCCCTCAGGCTCCTATTGTGCCATCTGTATAAGGGACAAGATTTAGTTCAGGCGCACAGAGACATACTTACACACTGGTGTTGCACAGTGTATCTACTATAACAGGGGTCTTTTGCATACGACTGTGCTAAAGGCGGCTCTACAGGCAACATTTAAAAAGCAAGTTTAAATGTTGCCTGTAGTGCAATGAATGAATGAATGCATGAATGAATAAATGAAATGTAACATGAAATGTGCAATTAAATTTTTTCTATTCCCTTTTAATTATACTGTATGATTTGGTAGATTCAGGAATAAATACAGCTGGAATAATTTACAGAAACACTTTATTATGAACAGATATAATTTAATTTAAGTAAGCCATTTCTTTAGATCAAGTCAAAGATCATTAGGATTGATCATAGTGCTTATAGGGCTGGATTTTCTGTGCTTTCTTAAAGTCCTTACACCCCCTGCTGGTGGATTACTATAAAAGATTATTATCTACTCCTCCACATACAGTCGTATGCAAGTTTGAACACCCTTGGTCACATCGCATGCTTTGTCGACATCCTCCGCAGAGAACACACTATTTATTTAACATTTTGTTAGATTTTTACCCCAGTATGTTAAAGTCAGCAAATAAACAGTAATTGTGCGTTAAAATGTGCAGTGTAGAGCAGGGGTGTCAAACTCAACCGCTAAAGGGGCCATATTTAAAAATCTCAACAAATCTGTGGGCCAGAGAAAAAATGTTTTTATTTCATGTTTTAATTAATGTTGTGCTGTAACCCAAACTGGCCATTGTTATTCATAATACAGTCAAATTCAACAGTAAAATATAGGCACTTATAAAAGACCTTGAAATATTACATGAGTACTTGAAGTATTCAAAATGTAAATGTCTCCAGGAGTTCAGTCTTTTATATCTACCTTTCTGCTTGAACTAGACACCTGGTATCCTTTCTTTACTGCACGTTCATTAACATACTTGGGCTCGATTTCTGAGCTGCTGAGCTGACGTTTAGTGTTTATACTGGGTGAAATGCAGCTGAAATGCAGTTAGTATGTTTGGTGAAATGACTGGTGTGGAATTGTGTAGAATTAAGGTGTAACCGCTGTCCTATAGGTTGTGGTTGGCGTAGGAGAGTCAGAACGCACATCACATTGTAGTGCATGCTGGGGACTGTAGTGCAGTGCACTGTAAAACGGGCTAGTGTTAACAGAAAATTTAAATAATTTTAAGGGCCTTGAGTTTGATACTTGGGGTGTAGAGAATGTGTAACTTATTTTACTTAGAAAATCAACGTCATTTGACCCAGGGCGCCCAAACATTTGCACATAACTGTAGCTGTATCAACTTAGACACGCCACTCTGTCCACTGTGTCAGAGAAACACTGTAAACATGCATAATTAGTTTCTGTGGTTTTGCTGTATCTGCAGTGGAAACAAGTGACGGATTTATGAGTAACGTCATAGGTTTTGGTGTATGCTTGTAGAACTGCTTTCTGAGTCAACCTCTCTCTCTCACTCTCTCTTTCTCTCTGTAGAGTTTCAGGTGGGGAGCTGTTTGACCGTATAGTGGAGAAAGGATTCTACACAGAGAAAGATGCCAGCACGCTCATTAGACAAGTACTGGATGCCGTGAACTACCTTCACAGCATGGGCATCGTACACAGAGACCTGAAGGTGAAAGAACCAGCGCAGATTTACAGACTGACGTTCTTCTTTCTGCCCTTCTTTGTGTGGACTGGTTTTCCTGATTCTGTGTATCTGTGTTCTCCCCCTCAGCCAGAGAATCTTCTGTATTTCAACCCTCAAGACGGCTCAAAGATCATGATCAGTGACTTCGGCCTGTCGAAGATGGAGGGCACAGGTGACGTTATGTCCACCGCCTGTGGCACGCCAGGATATGTGGGTAAGATAATAACGTTATATAAGCCACTGGAACATAATCAGGGACCAAAACCAGTTCAAGGAATGAAAATGAGAACCAGAAATGGATGGTATTTTGCTAGGAACATAAACATAATCGTCCTTAACTGTGCTGGAAACGATGTTATTTTTTTTGTTCCGTGTTGTCCACAACTTCACAGGAATTTTAACTCGTTTATTGGTTGTTGTACACTCTGAGCCAGATGCATGCGCAAGTGCAGACACAGTGCAAAACACTCCTTTATGCGACCACATTACAGTCGAATGCAAAATTCTGTCAATTTACATGTTTTGTTGATTTTCTAAGTGAAAACAAGTGAACACATCCTCAACAGAGAACACAATTCTGCACATTTTAATGTACAAAGAACATTTTATTTGCTGAATTTAACATATTGGGGAAAAATAAAACACAAAAACAAAATATAGCCTGTGCAAAAGTTTTGGCACATTTTTTAATTTTATATTTTATTTTTTTCAGTATGTTAAACTCAATAGCACTTTGCAGGATTGCTCTACAGTTTGCAGAAAATATCATATTTAAGTGTGCTCACTGTAGAGGACGTGTTAGCTTACTTTTACTTTCACAAATCAATAAACACATAATTAACCATTGTTTTGCAACTACATGCACTCATTAGTGCAGCTGAAATTAACGTTGATTTACTAAGGCTGCGTATAGGGCAAATAATGTGAAGTACTTTTTCCTAAAGCAGAAGTTTTCTGAGAGCAGAAAGAATGTTATTCTGTTCTTTGAGCACGTGTTTGGGGCGCGGACCTCAGTTTAGCCATAATGTCTGCTGCCACTGTTAAATATCCACCTACAATAATAGATATTCACCAATAACATGTTTTTGAGACACTAGTACACATTTACAGTCGTATGCAGAACCCCCTGGTCAAATGACATGTTTTGTTGATTTTCTAAGTGAAAATTCAACAAACCATTTAATTTGAACAGGGGTGCTCAAAATTTTGTACTTCTAAAATCTCTACCAGTTTTCTCTGCAGTCTTTCCAGTCTTTCAGTCTGTTTTTTGTGTTACTCTTGTGTTACTTCATATGCAGGAGTAGGAGAAGCACATTTTGCATTTTTTTAATGCACTGTGCGTTTGGGCACGCACTGCAGTTTTGTACTTGACAGGTATGCATAATTTGCCCGATTTGCATCTGACATTGCCACAAAATAACTTAATAGTTGGGTCCTAAATGTCCAAATGATTTTAGACCTCTTCTCATCCAGTGTTTCTTTTGAAATCCTGCCCTTCTTTAGTAATGAACTGTTTCAAAAAGTTAATTAAAAATAAACTTTAGCACAGGTAGAGTACATGTTAGATCCACTGCAGTTTGCATAAAGAGCTGAGAACCTTTTGTTTAAACATCTGGAATCTCCAGGGACACATGTTGGACTTTGGCTTTTAGCACCATCCAGCCACATATTATAGCAGAGAAACGTATTCCCTTTTTTAATGTTGATTTAATAATAGCTGGATACTAGATTTCCTAACTAGTAAATCGCAGTGTGTGAGTGTCAGTGGTTCTTACTCAAAACTGTTGTACTGGTTCTCCTCAGGGGTGCTGTCTGTCTCTTCTTCTTTGTATTATGTATATAAATGACCATCCTCAAGAAGCTGTAGTACTTGACTTTGTGTAATGGGTGACCAGTCATTTCTTCATCATAATGTTATGAAATCAAAGGATATGGTTGTTGATTTTAGGAAGTCTTTACCCTGCCCCATACCTACAACCACAGTACAGTAAATATCTTGGTACATTTATAGATAACAAACTTTGTTTTGAATAGAATGTACATTTTATCTGTAAGAAAATACAGCAGCACCTTTTCTTCCTAAGGAGAAATTCTTTGAACATTTGTGTATTTGCATTGACATGGTGATGATGTTTTTAATCTGTTCTAACCTTTTGTATTGTGGCTTGGTATGCAACCTTAACTTGAGTACTGGGAATAGCCTCAACAGCCTTGTCAAGGCAGCAAGTAGCAAGGGGATATATACACCGATCAGGCATAACATTATGACCCCCTCCTTGTTTCTACGCTCATCGTCCATTTTATCAGCTCCACTTACTATATAGGTGCACTTTGTAGTTCTACAATTACAGACTGTAGTCCATCTGTTTCTCTGCACACTTTGTTAGCCCCCTTTTACCCTGTTCTTCAGTGGTCAGGACCCCCATGGACCCTCACAGAGCTGGTACTATTTGGGTGGTGGATCATTCTCAGCACTGCAGTAACACTGATGTGCTGGTGGTGTGTTAGTGTGTGTTGCGCTAGTCTGAGTGGATCAGACACAGCAGTGCTGCTGGAGTTTTTAAACACCTCAGTGTCACTGCTGGACTGAATAGTCCACCAACCAAAAATATCCAGCGAGTGGACACAGCGTTTAAAAACTCCAGCAGCACTGCTGTGTCTGATCCACTCGTACCAGCACAACACACACTAACACACCACCAGCACATCAGTGTTACTGCAGTGCTGAGAATGATCCACCACCCAAATAGTTCCTGCCCTGCCTGTATGTATGTGTACCAAGCAGGTTCTAATGAAAAACTAGTGCCATCTTCACCTGTTAAGATCACCGTTTGCTACCAGAGTTTGAATTACCTCCATCAGGTCAGCAGTTTAGAGTACCTGCTGGAAGAACCCAGCGTAATAAGGAATTTTTGTCTCGACAGTCATTAGCTTGCTGAGTCAAAGCAATTACTCACTTGCACATTGAATGCTTATATACCTTTAGTATTTATTATTTTTTTTATGGGAGGGTGCAGCGTTGGGGGGTGGGCAAGGGGTCTGTGGTTATGTTGTGTTGTGATGTGTTAAGGTATGTTTAGTGTTGTCTTAAATGTTGTGTAGAATGAGAAACTGTCTGAACTGCAAATCTAAATCTGATTTACCCCATCAGGGACATTAAAGTAAAATATTAGTAGGAAGTTTGTCCCTCTTTGCTGCAGTAACGGCATCTGCTCTTCTGAGAAGACTTTATACTAGATGTTGGAACATTACTGTGAGGATTTGATTGCTTTCAGGAGCATTAGTGAGGACAGGTACTGATGTTGGATGGTTAGTTCTGGATCACTGCAGCTCATCCCACATGTATTGGATGGAACTCTATCACTCCAGAAACCGCAGTTCCACTACTCCACAGCCCATTGCTGGCCATGGTGACCTTAAGCCTATGTTCGGCTGCTTTGCCGGGTCCCATTCTGTTCGCAATGTACTTCTATGGAGTTAAACGCTTTGTTTGCCCGATTAAACACCTGTGTCAGCAATGGGTGCTGCATTCACTAAATAGGAGTGTCTGGATCTTTTTGGATGTATAGTGTATCTCCAAACTGTCAAATATCTTTAGCACAGCCTGATTTTATTTATAGTATTATCTTACATATACTTACATTATATTGTAGCATCCTGAGACCTGACTGTAAATGACTAGCTGCGCTACAGAATCTACAGTCTTTTTGATCACCACTTTATGGTTCCTAGTATTTGTGAAACAGATGACCAGGCATATTTGTTGTTGCTATAGGCTGTTTATGCTGTAGGACAGATGTTTTCAACCTTTTTCACCTGAAGGCCCCCCTTTTATGACCTGAAAGCATGAAGGCCCACAAGAAAACAAAACTCAAAGTATTTGCTTAAAAATGTCATTTTTGGTAAATTTTCAACACAGTGATATGTGGGGGGCTACTCTTGCGGTATGTAGTCTGTATCAGTGAACATGAAATATCAGCATAATATTGATGTGAATGGACAACTGAAAGGTCAAAAAAAATTGACAAAGCTGCCTTTGTGCACTGTTATTGTGGGGCTTGTGTTAATGTTGTTTACTGTCTGCAAATATTATATTCTTCTATTTTATAGTTGAGTCAATTAATTTTTCACTGATTTTTATGACAAAGTGCCATCACAGGCCCAGTACAGACAACTAGCCACCCTCAGTATAGGTCCAAGGACCACCAAGGGGTCCTTTGCGGCCCACCTGTGGTCCTCGGCCCAGTGGCTGAGAAACCCTGCTATAGGATATCAATGCTATCAATGCTAAATGACCAATTGTAGCCTGCTATTTTGGCAGATGTAGCTTTTGCTCTGAAGATGTAGATTTACGCTCGTTTTTTGTCACGATGTCCAGTGCAGGCATCTGTTTGCTATTGCTGCCTGTAATTTAGCTGGAAAAACAAAACTTTGTTTCCTGTCTGAATTTCAAACATGCTGCACAGAAGTGTGTACAGGCAGACATGTGGATAGTCAGTCAGAATGCATCTGACAAAATTCAGTTCGTTGTGGCCAGTTTTGTGTGCAGAAGATACCAAAGATGAAAAATTCTGTATCTATACAAACACAAATGACCAATCTAATAGCTTTCCCTACCAAATATGCAATGATATTAGGCCTGCATACTACCTAGGTAAAGGAACCAAAGTTTTCCCCAGTTTAGTCATGGTCAAGTCAGGTTTTACCTATTATACAGTGCTACCCAGCAGGGAGGGTGACGGCTTCCTTCCTCCAAGATAAATGAAGCACCACTTTGTCTTATAGAACTGGCTCTAACTCCCGCATTGGCTAGCATTACGCTGAGTGATGGGGAGAGACAAATGTCCTACCCTCCCAAAGAGAGCAAGGACAGTTATGCTCTTTTGGACTTCTGATTACGGATGGCTGTGGCATCACCGGGGATCAAACTTGTTTTTATTCCATTTCTGAGCCTTGAATGTATTTGTAATAAAAACAGATTTTTTTTCCCTTTCAGTTTATAGTTTTCTATATTTAACTATACAGCTAACTGTTGAATACTGTGATGTTTACACGCATTCAGATGTGCACAGCTCTCTGTGTGAGTCTGTGTAGATGTGTTGGGTGAATAATGCAGCTCATCTGTGTGCGTCCTGTATCTGGCCCTGGAGCTCTTTCTTATCACGCGGTGACAGAGCCACCCTGCAGTTGTCTGCTTTATCCTTCAGATTATAG